CATTGGAATTTTAAAAGTGAGAGGTCTTCACGTAATGAAACTCGAGTATAATATGCAAGACATCAAAGCTCGTGATTACTCGAACTCTGCTCCACCGGCCTCCTAACACGCTTGAGTGTTCGAAAAGTCCCATATTTATCAGGCTATTTAATAAAACTCCCTCAAACCTTTCACTAATAGGGAGAGGTCTAACCTTTATTTCCCTCTTTAATATAAAGCCATGCTCATCTCTCCTTCTTCTCTAACCCCAAAATTGTCATTCCACTATCTTCTACCCATTACATACATCCCCATTTTTTTCCCCTTTCATTTTTAAAATTAATTTATAGTTTTTTTTTATTATTAACTTTTTTATTATTTTTTTATTTTTGTAAAATATTTTTTTGTGTTCATTTGAACATTTTTTTTCTCCGTAAGGTATATTAATCGACTATAGTATTAATCGACTAAAGCATAGTCGATTAACGAAGTGAATACTAAATTGTGGTTGAATAATGAAATCAACTACTAAAAGTAAAAAAGCTTTGTAATGCCGTCATTGAAACCCGATTCAACAAAAGAATCCATACAATAACCAACCAAAACAAATAACAAAAATAACTAAAAAAATGAAAATTAACCATTTTCTAATGAAACAACAAATTATATAAAAATTGTAATTGATTTTCACAAATCGAATGATAGATTGACAATGTCAGAAGAAAAATGTACCACTGATGTGTGGCAAAATAAAGAAACAATAAACAAAAATAAAAAATTGAATTAAAAAATGTAGTCGATTTACCTTAATTGACTACTAAAACGTAGTCGATTAATGATCCAACGTCCGTAAACTGCCTTCACCTGCACCATCCTCCATGCAATCTATCCGAAAAACCCTAAATATGATCCCAATCATCACCCCACCCGTCGCCACACCACACTATCACCATCCCCACACCATCAACGTCGTTCACGCGTTTGGGTCGGACTTAATGACATTGCTTTCCGGCGATAAGACGCACCATCTCTTCACTCTCTGCCGCCATTGCCTCCATATCCTCCATCTTCGATGTCGATAACGTCGACCGTATCCTCTTGGATAATGACATAAGGTTTGGAGAGAATGGAAGAGATGTTTTGAGAGAATGGGAAAGAAAATAAAGTCACATAAGGTTTGGAGATCTAGGGCTTTGAGTGGGTTTGGGCCTTCAATTTATTTAATAATTAAATAAGAATACTATTGGTACTGCAATAACATTAATAGGTCAAACTATCTACCTGTTGAGTTTTCTCAAATTAAAAAAAAAAAGCAAATAAGGGGTTCTCCCTTACATAAATTTCTCAAATGAGGGGGTCTTACTAATTTTCTCTTTTATCTATGTAAATGATCTGAGTATTAATAAAGTTTATTTATTTTAGTTATTTATGAGATTTCGCATGTATCTATTTGAAATATTTTTAATAAGATATTGATTATTTTCAATTAAATAAATACATTAGTCTAAATATTCTAATAGCATTTGAAAACGTTTGTTAATTTTTATATAGCACATAGAAGATCATTTTGAAGGTTCGTTTAGAATAAAAAAATAGTTAATAGTTCTCAATGTAGATGAAATTGGGACTAACCATTAGAAAATATTGTAAAACAATATTTAATTGATTTACTTGGTCACAGTAAACATACAATAAGTTTTGTAGTTATTGTTTTAACTTGTTGTCCTAGGAAACTCGCCATACGTGAATCAGATAAAGTGAAATAATTTCTTCACCGCTGTTTAAATATGAAACTATATTATTCCTAGTTCGCAGCAACTTATGTACACTCTTAATAACTAGATCATTAACGTACACATTTAATTGGTGATATGTACTTTGACGTTACAATGGAGAAGTTTCTATATTGAGTCAAGTGAGCCCTGGTGGGTTGGGTAGAGACACTAACAATTAATAGGGTGAAAATTAATTATCGAAATGAATTCACATCTTCGAAATATGAGATTAATGCATAACCCTTGTGTAGCTTATGAGTTTTATTTATGCCTAAACTCGGCCGAACAGATTTAGTATCCGACATATTCAAATAAGTTAAGCGAGTAAGACTTAAGAAATTAAAATGTGCCATCTAATTTAGTTGGTTGTTATAGGAATATCTTAATTCGAAGAGAATCTAAGTAATGATAAATCGGGAGCCCAAAATATAATTTTGAGTATATAAACGCGATTCAATAATTATTTAATAGTGAAAAATAAATAACTATTTAATGGTTATTAGATGAATTGTTTGTAGAGTTTCAATTTAACAAGTATTAATTGTCCGTATTACATTTTTCCCATTGGTACTTATTGTATCCCAATGAATAATTCCAATTAATTAAGTAAATATAATTTAATCAAGTAAATTAGGTGATAAAATTAAATTGTCCGTATTAGATTTCCCCATCGGTACCTATTTAATCAAGAAATACAATTATACTAATTGTATTTGGAATGCAGTAAGCCAAAAGTTAGACTCAACTGGTAAGAGCTTTTTTGCTATAGCATTACTTGTGGAAAAAAAAAATTGTTTCTTTAGTTTTTTCCTTGTACAACTCCTTTAGAGCCATGTGTACAAGATTTGATTGGAGAGAGAAAACAAATTCTCATCTTGAAAAAAAGTTCCACACGTTTAGAAGAAGATATTTTTTTCTCTTCTTCTTTTCTTTCTTACTTTCTCAATTATAGATTTATAATTTTTCAAGAATAAGTTCATCCTTATTGAAGAATTATTAATCCGTGATATACAATACGAAATTAGAGGTTTTGAGAGCAAAAACATTATTCTCGATTTCTTTGCAGCTGCCCTGTCATTTTGGACTCCACCACTTCATCCACTGTTGAACAATTGTAAAATGTTTATTGCATGTTTCTGTCACATAGGTCGATGATCCAGAGCAAACGGATCGTCGATCCGAATCTTAAAGATGAAGTTATGTATTTTAAAAGTTCGTTAAAAATTCATTGGCAACACCAGAATTTGGAGAAGCTCCATTCGTGACTTTGGAGGACATTGTTCGTGTTTCATGTCGTTGTTGAGTTGAAGGAGGTGTTTTGGAATCATTTCTGAATCACGTTGTAATTCTATATTAATATTTATTCCGCAATTATTAATCTTGAATTTATCCTTGAACTCATGCTAAATAAAATTTTAAACCGTAAAAATGAATCTAATACGAGTTTATGCATGACGCACTATGGGATTTGGTTTTCCAACACCACGAAACATATTTTCAATCTCATAGGGATTCTAGAAAATTCACATCGTGTTACATGTTTACTTTGGGAGGTGGACCAATTAGTTGGAGAAGTATCAACAACCAATCATGCATTGCTGACTCAACTATGGAAGTTGGGAAAGATGTTGTATCGCTTATGAACTTCCTTATTGATTTGGGTGTGGTTCAGCAGTTCGATCAGATATGACACTATATTGTTATAATAGTGGAACATTAGTTAACTCAAAGGAACCTACAACTCACAAGAAGGGAAAGCGTATTGAGCACATGTACCGCATTATTCGAGAATTCGTTGTCAAGAAGATGTTGTACTGAAAAAAAATAGCATCAGAATACAACCGGGTCGATCCATTCTCGAAGAGTCTTCCTACAAAGAATTTCAAAAATCATATAGATGGATTGGGATTACTATGTATAGTTGCTTGACTTTGGTCTAAGTGGGAGATTGTTAGGATAGTAGACCAAAAGCCCAAATTTATCTATGTAAATGAATTCAGTATTAATAAAGTTTATTTATTTTAGTCATTTACGAGAATTTGCATGTGTATGGTTCACATACTTTTACTAAGATACTGATTATTGTCAGTTAAACAAAATACATGAGTCTAAATATTCTAATAGTATTCGAAATATAAATATAATTGTGAATATATAATAGGACATATAAATCACATAAAAATTCAGAATGCATAGCGACAACTAATTAATTCGTGAAATACAATATATGCCTATAAATGTATATATTAATTATTTATTCAATATTATATGCTTATGAAAATGGACAACATTACATTAGTGCTTAATATAAATGTTAATTGTTCATAAGCTACATAGAATTGGATAATATGAAATCAAGATTGTAGCAAAATACTTAATTAATCTATATTGATTACGGAAAACATATAGTAATTATAGAGTTATTATTTTGGCTTGTTGTAGTATCGTATTTGACAAGTGTTAAACCATACACAACGACATAATAGTTTTTTAATTAATTGAATGAAACAATATTATTTATATTTAATGAATTCATTCGTTTGTTTTAATTGTAGACATTTAAAACAAACATTTATTAATGAATTCTACTTTGATGAACGAGTGAATGAGAATATGCGTAAGTCAAGATTAAGTGTGAATTGGCCTGGTAATCACATTAATTACTTTTTGGAAATTAATTACTGAAAGTACTTCACATCTATGAGACATGAGATTAATAAATAACCCATAAGTAGCTAATGAATTTTGAATATACCAAAGACTTGGTAAAATAGATTTTATACACAACATAAAAAATATTCAAATCCATGTAGGGTTTAAAAAATTCATCATTTGTTGCAGGGTTTGAAGAGTAGGGATACATCTTGAAATTTGATTTTAGAAAAAAAAGACTTTTAATTTGAATTGGAGAAATTCTAGAATCTAGGGCAAAATTGAGGAGATGCGTAACTATGAAATGAGGCAAGAGAGATTTTCAGTCGTTCGCATATTAAGAACGTTTGGGGATAGTTGTGTCATTGTACATCGAAAATTCCAGTAGTATTTGCTAGTTTTTTTTTTCTTTTTTCACAAGAAACTAAAAAGTTTGATCGTTAATTGAGATATTATATGGATAGTAATTCGAATTAACTTTACTGAAAATTGATTGCATTATAGTAGTGCCACAATTCTCCAAATATGACTATACATCCATGTACAAGTTTTATTAGATAAATCGATAAAATGGTAATCGACGGAAATATAGTTATCGAAGGTCGAAGAAGACAATAAAACTTAAACAATAAAAAAAGGGGCAAAATCTGATTCTGTTGTTTACAATACACTCAAAGCAAATTGAAAAGCTATCACACAAATGAATTGAACAACAGAATAAAAAAAAGAAAAAAAAATAACATAGAGAAGATAAAAAAATTAAAAAAAAAATCACTTTTAGCCTAAAATTATTATTGGTTCGGAGCTGTGTTTATGAAACCCTATACAAAGAGAGGAAGAACAAACATTGTCTGAAATGAAATTATTACCAAATACCAGAAAACATTTTCTGGAAAGAAGACAAATTCTCTTTAGGCTGTAGTGAGGCAGCAGGGCTGAGAGCTGGAGCAGATGCATGGAAGTTAGTTGTTGGTGCAGGTGCATATGGTTCCATCCATGGAGAAGCAGCTATTTGAGAAACAGGCACAGAAGCTGGACTGTCATTATGAGATGACTTTGGAGAGTCGTGATGATGACGATGATGATCATCATGGTCACCGTCATCGTCCTTTTTAGGACTAGGTGGAGGTGGATCTTTTCTCACAAATGAAGATTTATCTTTAGCTTGTCCTAAATCTTTTGTTTCTTCCGGCTCTTGTGGAGAATATTTAACGTTCGGGTCCTTTTTAGGAAGTGGGAATATGAACCCACCATCGTAAGGAACCTTTGTACGTGGAATCCAACGTTCCCCATCGAGAAACTCGTCCGCGGTGAATCTCTTAACCCTCTTAGCAGGCAATTCTTTAATACCGTGCCATTTCACGCGGTCAGTTTTGTTAGAAGATGGGCCTCTGTTGTTGAATTCTGCGTAAAAGAGTGTGTCCAGTGCGAAATCCTCAAACCACGGAAGCCATCCAGCTGCTTGAAAGGAGTCGCTGATGTAAGATTCCATGATGATGGTTCTTGAGAATTCTTTCCATGGTCGGCCTAGGTATGCCTTGTTTGTGTTTCTGACGGGGTAATAAGCAGGATCAGGTACGAAAGAGCAGTTTTGTAGGACAAGTCCGGTTGGCTGTCGAAGATCTTTTCTGCCCTGTGCTGTAACTATGCAGTCCTGATTGTCCAATGGCTTTCTTACAACCAATGAGCATCCTTGGAATACGGCTGCACTGTCTCCAAAGATGAAGTCGATGGTGCCTGAGATCACACAGTCTCTGTAGAACTGACGGTATGTGTGTGCATATAGTGTATCTTGATACCCGTCCATTTGGCAGTTGTAGAATATCACCATGTCCGCGCTAACACGCAGTGCCACCGCCTGATGCTTTTCTGCACCTGCTGAGTTTTCGAATCCGATGTCCCTGGCAATGAAGTGGTCTCCTTGGATGGCTGGAGAGAGAGATATTATACAGTTAAATTTCTATAAGTTAATTAATACAGTTAGTCAAGACTCCAAAATTCTCATATTTACGTACCAACAGTGGCTGTCTGGTAGGTATTGGTTCCATCGATAAAGTTCAATCTTCCAGTAATCTTGGTCTTGGTTGGGCCATCTCCCAAAAACATCAAATTTGTTAGGCTGCTGTTGACAACCACCTTCTCTTCATAAACACCTTCTTTGATGTAAAGAACAAATGTTTTATTGTTTTTCTTGTCAATAATATTGACAATGTTCCTTAGAGCTTCATTAACAGTAGTGTAGTTGCCACTTCCATCCTTAGCAACAACTAGATTTGGTTTGATCTTTTTCTTAGAAGAACGGAGAAGATTACGCCTGTTTGAATCAATCCATCCTGGCATTTCATCATCACTATTTCCAATGATTTGAATAATATCGTTGTTAGAGAGAAGACGACGACTGGTAGTTGTGTAGCTACCAAGACCACCAATAGACTGAAGAACAGACGATATACCGGTCACCATAGCAAGACCATTACTCGTCATTTCCATGCCTGTTTTTAGAAGCTCTTTCATTTTCTCAGTGGCATCACCTGGAACTTCTTCGAATCCATCAATGCATGTTTCTTGGTAAGTGATTGCACCGCTAAGCCATATTTTCAAATCCGCAAGTATGTTTTCAACATCTGTTATGTCGAAATTGTTGAATTTGTCGAATGATCTTTGGAGATCGTTTATTGCACGATCTGCAAGCTCACGGCAGCTTTCCAGTGCTTCTTTCCCTCTCGGATCCTTCTCAACTTCCTAGAATTTATTAAATAAAATTTAAAAAAAGAAGAAAAAAAATAAAAAAACATAAAACAATTGAAACAATATTAAACTGTAAATCAGTCTTACATGGAAAACAGTGGAGTTGTTAGCAGCATCCCTGATTTGCTTGATTGCAGCCTGGAAAGCAATTTCAATGAGCTCTTTAGGATCGCTGCTATTACTACCGGAGGAGGTGAGGCTGTTAACACATGTTTCTTGATAATCTGTGTTTTGACAAAGAGTTTGTATTGACTTTTGAGAGGCAGACACATCCTGTTCACCATCTGTGTTTCCATTGCCATGCCTGGTTGTGAATAGTGCAACAACCATCGCAACCAATAGTAACGAACATACGGAAACTATTGCTATCTTTTTCTTCGGATTGTCTGCCATTTTTCCTTTTTTTTCCTTTTTTTTCCTTTTTTTTTACGTACACTCTTTTTTTTCAAATTTTTTTTTTTAAATTTAATATGTAATGGAGAAAGATCTGATGATTTGACCCTCTCCAAGAATATTAAAGCGCTGCTCGCTTTGAGACAGGCTCTGCTATATTCTCAGAGAGAATGGAAATTGGGGTTTATATTACAAATGAAATGCCCTTTTCTGTTACGGAACATGAGGCCTGGAGGAAAGAATATTACTATTAACCATTGCTTTTACTACGATGAAGCAACACCATTTAATATCAATGTTATATGTTCAATTCACTAAAAATAGCCAAAAGACTTCCAACCTTCATTCTCTACCATTAATTTATATTCTTCTTCTTTTACTCTTCTTAAATTTTAATTTACAATTATTGTATATCTTTATTTATTTAATGATAACTTTTATTGAAATTTTCTCATTTTATGACCCATTTACTCTTTAATGAATAACTAATTTCTTTTTACGGATTATCCCTAGTATAATTATTTTAAGAACATATGTATGATGAGCTGATCATCAATGCCAAAACTCAAAATGATTTTATTCGTAGTATACATTCACAACAACATATAACCTATTAGATTGGCAATCTGATATAAATATTATTTATAATTACATTTAATAATAGGGATACATGGCTAGACCCTTCATTTCAATCTTTTATAGGCATAAGTACAATGGGATAAAATAATATAGATATAGGTTCCTTGAGCAATTTGATTAAACTAAATTAGATAATATTTTAAGTGCATTGACGGGAACACCCCCAATTAGTAACGTGATTATACCATAATGCGAGGATAAATCTCTTTCTTATAGCTATGTAATTGTATAAAACAATCTCTATATTCCATTTTTTTGTGAGCCAAAGACCACCACAGTCGTCGTCTATGAATTTACAGTAACGTTGTTTTCTGTTTAACAAGCATATTCTTCTATTTTTCCGCCAATTTATTTTGAGATATGTCTATCAATCAAATTGGGATTTGTTACCCTTAAAATTAATTGTCTATCTATTTTCGCTGTTAGTTTATGTTTGCGAATAACTTTTGGTTTGGCCTCTGTTGTTGTCTATCTGCAAACTAATTTTGATTTGGCAATTGCTACGTTCTGCCTCTACTTGTCAATCAAATCGGTATGTTTGATGCTGCTATTTTGTTTGTCGGATGTCGCTAGTATGCAATCTATTTGTTTGATAGAACTGCTATATGTTCATTTGATCGACTATGCATAGACAACTATATGTTTGCCAACCTATAAGTACTGGACTAACTACTGCTGAACTAAAATGAAGTCTACTGTTTGTTTCTTTGAATTGAGGGGGTGTTCTACAAAATTACTATTCGTTTTTATTTTTGCATTCCTTTTTTTGTCACTCAAGCGTGAATTTTTGTTTGCCAAGTTCTTCCAACTTGATGAGGTATTAGAATAGATCTAGGAGTTTTATAATACATTATGAATCAATTTGATTAGATAATTCTTGTCTATCTAGGTTAGTATATTTGTGTATGTCTTAGCGAACATTTTTTTTTCTTAATTGGATGTCTTTTCCCATCTATATATAAAGAGAGTGGTTCTTTCGATATAGTTACTATCTTCTTTCTAGCTATCTGGCTAGTTGTATTATACATTTTCTTTTACTTTTGTATTCTAACATTTTTTTAATACTACAAGTATAGGTCTCATCTTTCATGTTTCTAAGAAAGAGTTATAATCTGATACGTTTCATTGTTTTAAAACTTAGTATAATGTTTAGAAAAATATTAATTGCTTTTATGTGAGCATACATGTTTGATAGAAGTTGTGAATAAAATTGCCTATGTGCATTTTTAGTGGAACTGAGAACCCAAGTAGTTCAAGGATTTCGATTTCATACAATGTAATCTAATTGAAAGATTGGATGTGTTATGTGAATGATTAGAGAAGTATGACCTTATGTGTAATTTCTTATAAATATGATATAAGTGATATTATATGTGATTTAAGTTACATAGGTACTTATGATGCGAAAGTAAATATAGATCATGTAATTTTATTTAATTCATTTAGTGAGTTTAAAACTTGCATATAACATATTTTTCAAGTTAAAAGTGTTTAGAAAAGAGGTTGAGAAATTAGGTGAGTAAGTGCGGGATACGGGGTTCAGTATCACGATTAGTGGTTAGTAAGTGAGGTTTAATCAGGAACCAAGACCAGTAACCCCACTATTTTGGCTAGAGCAAATTTATCCCCGTGACTTAATTATATTCACTTAACAAGTTCCAAAATACACAGCTTATTGCCAAAGTTCAAGACCGATTTTCCAAACACACCCAATATTTTCTCTTGCATGATTTCATGAAACGGTGAAAGTTTAACGTTGCATGCATATTACAGTTAAAGTAAAAAACAAAGGGTGTCAAGTACCCGAAAATAGGGATGTTTGTGGGTAGGGTTGGTTGATTATCGACCAATAAACCAACGCGATCCAACAAATCGACTTTGGTAAATATCGAAAACCATTATCGACCCAACTTAGATGGGTTGGATGTTAGTTGACAACTAATTTTATGGTCGGTTGATGGGTTAGTTGATGGTTCCTTCACATACCAAAACAAAATCATTTTTTTAGAATATTTTATTACAATACTAATATTATATTCTTAAAATTAAATTTAATTAGTTCAATAATATTTGAATAATAAATGTAAAATATTACAAACTATTGTAATTAAATTTAATTAGTTCAATAATATTATAACAAAATTCAAATATTGCAGGCCAAGTGTTTTAAAATTAAAATATTTTAAGATAAAATGAAAAATACAAAATAAAAAAAAGAAATTTGAAATTTTCTGGTTTCAATTAGCATGAACTAAATCCAAATTCAAAATGTACTCCAGAAGAGCTAATACCATAAATTAGGTAATTAGACTTACATTTTTTTAATTTGGTCACTATTAGAGAATTTAATAACTAATAAATAAAGTTGATTGACCGATATTACTCGAGCAACCTGTTGGGAATCGGACACGTGTACGCAGCGGAAAAAAAATTATGCGATTTAAACAAATTTAAAACACAAAAACACATGCCCGATAATTGAAATCAATTAATTCCGTACCTTTGCGCTTCCAGCGAAATTAAAAACAACATACATGCTTAATTACTTAATCGAAATTAAATCAATTAGCCTGCTCGCGTTTAAATCAAATAACATGCTCGCAGTAATAAAAACAATTTCATGTAGTCACATAAAATCATAGAAGTTTCATACTAGAACGAACATATATATTCAATTTAAATAGAACCGAATCTAACGACATTGGATTCGAAGTTTTACCTCTTGAAGCGTGAGGTAGGCGCACTAAGCAAAGCTAGATTGCCACGGAAACCAATCCGTGCAATCCGGGGCAGCAGCGGCGAAACGACAGCAGCGGTTAGACAAGCTACGGCGGCGCGTGTAGCTCACGCACTGTCTTCGGGCGGCGCGTGGGATTGCGTGCGACGTTGGCTCGTGTGCTGCTCCTCGATTCTTCGATCCTCGATCTCCCTCCTCTCGGATTTCACCTCGTATACTTCGATCTACTAAATACGTGGCACTAGACATGTAATAGTTAGAAAAACGGAAGAATAGAAAGAAGGAAAGATTTACCAAAGGGATCAGCCAAGGGGTGGCCGATTCCGGCGAGTTGGCGGCGGCGACGGCGGTGGTGGCCGCGGGAGAAGATGGCCTAGAGAGAGAGGGAGCGGCTAGGGTTTTAGTTCGGGTGTTTTGTTTGTGCAAAACCTATAAATCAAGTATTTATAGTGTCTTGCATAAAACCCTAACGGGCTTAAGTTGGACCGGGTCCAACAGCTTAAGTTCGTTAGTTCTTTTACTTGCTCGTCTCTCTCAATTCAATGATCGGTAAATTGTAATGATTACATTTTCGGAATCATTATAATTTCAACTCGGCACCCCCATAAACCAAAAATATATCCTTAGTCCTTCGTAAGTACTTGAGGATATCTTTACGGCCTTCCAGTGAGCCGGGCCGGGGTTAGACCGATATCTGCTTATGACACTCACAGCATATGCAATATCGGGTCTCCTACATAGCATGCCATACATTATGCTTCTTATGGCAGAAGCATAAGGCGTCCTTTTCATCTCCTCTATTTCACTGGGTGTTTGAGGACACATAGATTTCGAGAGACGAACCCCATGGGACATTGGCAAGAATACTTTCTTCGATTCTTCCATGCTAAACCGTTTCATAGCGTTGTCTATGTACAGGCTTTGGGATAAGCCAAGCATCTTCCTTGCTCTATCTCTATAGATGCGTATTCCTAATACATAAGATGCTTCTCCCAAATCCTTCATTGAGAAACGTGTGGACAACCATGTTTTCGTTTGTTGCAACATTCCTACGTCATTCCTAATGAGTAGAATGTCATCAACATAAAGCACTAAAAATATCACTGCCCTCCCACTAACCTTCTTGTATACACAAGGTTCCTCCGGATTCTTCTACAAATCAAACTCTTGATAGTTGAGTCGAACCTAATGTTCCAACTTCGGGATGCTTGTTTCAATCCATAAATGGATCGCTGGAGCTTGCAAACCTTTTGTTCACTTCCACAAGATATGAAGCCTTCCGGCTGCGCCATGTAAATTTCTTCCTCAATATCTCCATTAAGGAATGCGGTCTTCACATCCATTTGCCATATCTCGTAGTCGTACCACGCAGCTATGGCCAGCAAAATCGTAATGGACTTCTGCATCGCGACTGGCGAAAAGGTTTCCTCATAGTCAACACCTTGCCTTTGAGTATATCCTTTCGCTACTAATCTAGCTTTATAGGTCGATACCTTTCCATCCACTCCAATTTTCTTCTTATGGATCCACTTGCAGCCTATGGTAACAATTCCTTTAGGTGAATCTACCAAGGTCCACACCTTGTTGGAGTACATGGAGTCCATTTCGGATTTCATGGCAGTTAGCTAATGTCCCATGTCCGCATCTGATACGGCCTCATTGTATGTTCTTGGATCTTGTCCAAGATCAACATGATCTTCATCATTTTCGAGGAGGAATAACCTATTTGGCATTTTCCGAACTCTTTCGGATCTACGTACCGCAGGTTCAGGAGGTGTATTAGTGGATTGTTGTATTGGTTCGATTACTTGTTCTTGTGCTTGAACTTCACTTTGTGGTTCTTGAACTACTTCAAGTTCTATCATGCTGCCTTATCTATCGGATAGAAACTCCCTTTCCAAAAAGGTGGCATTTCTTGAAAACAACGTCTTTGCTTCCTTGACATAATAGAATTCGTATCCTATTGAGTCTTCGGGATACCCCACAAAAAAGCACAAGTCGGATTTACTATCCTACTTATCTCCCACTAATCGCTTCACATAAGCGGGACAACCCCATATCCTAATATGTTTGTAGTTGGGTTTCCGAGAATGCCAAAGTTCATAAGGTGTGGATTTAACTGCTTTGCTGTTAACTCTATTCAGCAAATACGCGGCAATGCGAAGTGTATGACCCCACAAGTATGTCGGTAAGTTCGTGAACCCCATCATTGATCGAACCATATCCAATAAAGTTCGATTCGGATGTTCAGAAACTCCATTGAGTGGAGGAGTTCCTGGTGGAGTCCATTGAGATTGTATTCCGTTCTCTTTTAGATAGTCAATGAACTCAATGCTTAAGTATTCTCCACCACGATCGGATCGCAGCTTCTTAATACTTCGTTCGAGTTGCTTCTCTACTTTGTGTCTAAAATCGTTGAACTTTTCAAATGTTTCGGACTTTTACTTCATCAAGTACACATACCTACCTAGAATAATCGTCGGTAAAGGTAGAGAAGTAGTTGTATCCACCCTTCGCACTAATACTTAGTGGACCACATACGTCTGTATGGATCAAATCCAAAAGACCCTCGGCTCGTTCCATTTCCCCTTTGTAGGGTGACTTGGTCATTTTCCCTTTAAGGCAAGATTCACAAGTTTGTAGTGATTTCACGTCCTCCAAAGAGAACAATCCTTCACTAACAAAATCGTTCATCCTTCTTAAAGAGATATGACCTAATCTAGCGTGCCAAAGTTGAGCGAGGTTTTGATCTGTCTCCTTACGTTTTGCTGATTTTCGTCTTAGGGCCCCCCACTACCTTCACCCACTTCGAACTTGTTGTTTGGGAAGCGAACTCTTTCCTTTCTCTTCTTTTGGGAAGAACTCTTCTTTCCAGAAGTAGCAGCAACGAGAACAGACTTCTCTTTCTTAATGGTGGACTCGAAACTGACCAACATGTTCATTAACTCATCCAAGGGAGGATCTAGTTTGTTCATGTTGAAGTTCACTATGAACGATTCATAGGAACTAGGAAGAGACAACATGATCAAATCCAACAAGAGCTTAGTTGGGAGGGTGGCATTGAGATTCACTACATTTTCAAGGAGATTGATCATTTTGAGATAGTGCTCGTGGACCAAAGTCCCTTCGCGCGGTCTTGCCGTGATCAACTCCTTTGTAGCAGCGTACCTCGATGCCTTAGTATTCTCACTAGACATGCTATCGAGATGAGCCTTTATATCGAAAGCATGCATGTGAGACTCATATTTCCTCGCAAGCGCGGGCTCCATGGCGGTTATCATATAACACCTAGCATGAGTGTCATCTTTCTTCCAAGCTTCATAAGTTTCCTTTTCAGCATCAGTCGCTGTGGCAGGTATAGTGGCAGGAAGTCTCTCGTTAAGAACATAGAGACGCCAATCAACGGTTAGCACAAGCTTAAGACTACGCAACCAATCTAGGTAATTAGGGCCATTGAGTTTATTGTTGAGGATTGACATTATGGGATTCTTAGACATGATTATCTGAGAGGTATAGAGAAGAGGATTATTAGAGATTCGCGTTAAATGATTGTTACAATTAAATGTTTGGCCTTATGTTTTTTAATTGTTCTCCAACTAATTTTATCGAGTTCCACTTCCCTATAGTAGACAAACGAGAAAACTGATTTTTCTTAATGGGCTTTAGGTCCAATAGACAAATATAGCCTGTAGTTAATCTAGCCCGATTATATTTGCCCAAAGGTAGATCACAATCAATGACCTAAGTTAATCACGCGAATTCAAGTCTAACCTACCAATCAAAGATGCTCATAGAACTTGATTATGCCAAACTAATGCAGTCCCTAGTTAATCTAGCCGACCATGTTAATCTAGCATAACCCTTTTCTATGGCTCCCTTCATCGCTATGTCAACTAAATTACAGCTTACTCTACCATAGCACTCCCCGCTAACACGGCTTACTGCACTATAGTAAAGGGCTACACATAATTCAACCGTTGGCAGAAGGAAAGAAAAATTCAGCAGATTGGTTTTTCTTTATAGCTTGAAATGGTTCTTAGTGCTGACCGAACAAGTGCTACATCTGAATCAAATTTGCACACAATTATCCTTGGGTAAATTACAAACACCCCCCTGAGGTATGGTCAATTTACGAAAAAACCCTCTTGTTTGGATAATTACATGTACCCCCCTCAACTATGATTTTTTCTTACACATTCACCCTTATGGTGCCAAATTCAACATAATCATCTAGATTCCGTGGAATGTGCTCTAGTTTGTACTCGTTTTATGTAAAAATACAGTTTAAGAATGAGAGATTTTTATTAAAA